CATGTTGCCCACTGATACTGATTTCATGTGGCCACAGATGCATATAAGCCTATGCTTCTTTGTTCTTAAATAAAGGCACTTCAGCATTTTCTTCAACCTCCTACAGGAGCCTCCTTCATACAAAATCCACAAATGCAGTCCCCTATCCCATGGGGAAAACACCTAAAGCTGCTGTGGTCAAGCAGTGACTGATGAATCTGACCTTTACTACCTCATCTGCATGTATGGCAACCAGACCCCTATGGATCACTTTGGATCTCTACATTTCCTCACATGCTAGCAGCTGCCTTGGGGGCAAGTTTTTCATTGACCAACTATTTAGCAGACATTAGATGTATTTCCTGGCTGTACCGTCCAGCACTCCCTCTCCCCTTCCTGACAGCTATAAAACTGAGAAGACATAAATATGTTCCTGGAAAGCTAAACCACCTAGGGTAAAATGTTGGAAATGATGGATAGAAATAGCTTCAAGCATCTATTCCAAAAACAGTGCTTACAATTCCAACAACCTTCCAACAGAACACAATAGCATATAACCATGTCACAAACACTTAGAGTCCCTCCTAGCCTGCACTGAATGAGTTTTACTTTTGCCTTTGCTATCCACCAGAGAAGAAAAGTTGTGAGACACCACAGCTAAGCTGATGAATGACAAGTCACTATCTTGTCTCAGCCAGAAAAATATGAAGACCACCAAAAGTGGGATAAAACCAGAAACCAGGCATTCTTAAGTAAGTCTTCATTAATAGCCTTCTGGGATCTACATATACCCTATATATATTTTTTTTTTGTTGTTCCCAATTTTCTCTGTGGGAAATGTTTTGAAGTTCCCACTGAGGAAACCTCCACTGGATTCTATGACAATTTTCCATGAATCAGAATTTGAACATGTCTCAATAAAAGGACCATGCTGTTATGTTTTAGCTCACATCTTTAAAACAGAAAATATGGTATTGTCTGTGTTGAAAAATCAGTCCAGAAGAAATATTTATCTAAAAGTAATTCCTTAGGGTACAAGAAGTGTTATTTTTTTCTTCCAATGAAAAAATAGGCACAATAGAAACTGCCTGTAGCTCATAGTGGCATTATCAGGCTCATGCTACACATTAGACATGGTCCATGAAACACTCTAACCTCAAGGCAAAGTAATTTCTAATATGAATTGCTCATGCAAAGGCATTTCAGAATTGTGAAAAATAAGCCCCTCCAACCTCAATTTTCAGCTTCACTTTGTCAAGAGCTATTAAAGATAGCATTAATGTCATGGTTCAAAAACTATTGCTTACCTAAGAATATTTCCCTTTCTCTGCCCCAACACTCTATCTTTATTCTGACTCCAGAAGGGGAAGTATTAAGTTATTATTTATCTAGTCATGGAAATTTTACCTTTAAAGTACCACCTAAAATGTGGTCAAATTTATCAGGATTTATTGCAAATAACATGGACACCTCAAACTTTATCTGCAAAAATGCATACAGATGTACCCCTGTTTATTGATATTTTATTATATTAGATCACCTGTTTACAGCAAGTTATCAGAAGATACTTAGAACATCCAGATGAAGACAGCCTGTAAAAAACAGGGATCAAATCAAATAACATTCATGAGATGGGCATTGAAAAATTATTTTGGATATAACCCTGTATAAAAATATTTGAGGTTTTATTAGATCGGGCTTCTTGAGAAAACAGGAAGAGAAAATTTTACAAGTGCCCTCTATAACCTCAACTGTTCCTACTAATGTCAACAACAGCCACATTCAGAATTTCTGAAAATTCCCCACATTAAAAGAGTTTCCCATAATAAAAGAGCCTTTATAAACGAGCTGTTCTGTTCTGATTTATCAGTTTAGGAGTACACACACAGAATACAATGATACACAGGCTTCAGAAGTATATACATCAGACAGATCAAGGTAATATAAGTGATAAAACATCACCTTCTGGAAATTTTATCCTTTATTTGCCAAGAGTAGTGACATGTTTAGAATGGGACACTTCTATCGTATCTGATGGTTGTGGTTAGGGAAGCTAAAATATTTTAAGCACGAAGAACAGAAAATCAGACAACACACATTCCATAGCACATTTACTGGATCTAATTATAGTTGCAATAGAAAATACAAGAAAATTACATTCCAAGCATCATAAAGATCTTTAAGATCACTGAGTCTGATTGTAAATCCAGGACTGCAAGTCTACCACTAAACTATGTCCCTATTTACACAACTTTTAAATACTTCCAGAGATGTCAACTCCACCACTTCCATAGTCAGCCTGTTCTAATGTTGACTACCCTTTCAGAAAAAAAATATTTTCCTAATATCCAATCTAAACCTCCCCTGGAGCAACCTGAGGTCATTTCCTCTTCTCCTGTTGCTTGCTACCTGGGAGAAGAGACCAACCCCCACCTGGCTACAACCTCCTTTCAGGTCTTCTCTGAGCCTCTTTTTCTCCAACCTAAACACCTCCAGCTGCCTCACCTGAATTTCATAAGACTTGTGCACCAAAACCTTCACCAGCTCCACTGCCCTTCTCTGGAAAAACTCCAGCACATCAATGTCTTTCTTGTAGTGAAGGGTCCAAAAGTGAACACAGGACTCGAGGTGCAGCCTCACCACTGCCGAATAGAGGGAGACAATCACTACCCTGGTCCTGCTGACCACACTACTCCTGATAAATGCCAAGATGCCATTGGAATTCTTGGACACCTGGGCACACTGCTGTTCTCTGCAAAGAGTGAATACTATATCTATTACTATACTGGGTAAACTGTGCTTTAAGAAGTCAAAGTTGTTTAATATTAAATTTGCCTCACTTTCACCATGTCCACAAACACTTCTTTATGAATACAGAGTGTAACTGACTGAATACTTGCTTTACAGAAGGAAGTTTTTATAAGAGGGTCTGAAAACTCAACCCTTAGCAGAAAGTGACAGGGAGAAAAGAAACAAAATTATCTGAATTCCCCTTTGGAACTGAGTGCTTATCAGAGATATAAGCTCCTGACCACAGGGAAAAGATAGGAGATACTTGACATTGATGTTTACAATTTATTCTCACTGAAGGCCAAAAAATGCCTTATAAAAATCCTGAGCATCCAAACAATGTCAAGAAAAAAAATCCAACACAATATATGCTTTCACAGATATTATTAGTAGTAATATGTTGCATTCATACAGCAGTTTCAGATCTCAGGGTGCTACATTCTGTCTCCTTTTCAAGCACATAATGCTCTGGATTGCTTTACTTACTAGTAGCAGTAGCAGGACAATATCAGGATTATCACAGGCACAGGCTACATGCATTGATGTCCAAAAATCCTCATCTTGATGATTTACATTTACTCCTCTGTCAATTAGAATTTCTGCAGCAAATGCATTATCGTAGCGAGCACACTGGAAGAAAAAGAACAGATTAGGGATGGTGCTTTCCTCAGTGTACAACTGAATTTATTACACAGTATTTAAATTAGGCAGATGATGCAATATAGTTGAACTGCTGTGTTTGTAGGGAACAACAGCTGAGGAATCTATAGAAATAATTCTGTGGAGACTACCAGTTCCATATGCATGATTCACAGAACGCCCTTCTCCCTCTGAAAAAGCACTATATGAAATCTGCTGAATCTACAATAAAGATAAGGCTTTTTTTCTGTTCAGTACCATTGTTCCAAATCACTGCACAGGCATCAGTGCATGATGATCACATGATGAGTAGTGACACCTAAGTATATGCACACCCACAGGTACATATGTCCACATGCACATTAACTTCTGCCTCTTATGCAGATCATAGCAGTAATACACACTTCTACACTTTTATTTCCAGTCCACTAACCATGTGATTCCTTTTCCAGTCTCTCTGACAGATAAATACTCTGCACACTACAAGTGTGTTGGGAGAAGCGAGGGAATGCACGTGTTTGTGTGTGTGTGTGTTTGTGTGTGTGTGAGATGATGGAGGTCACAGTCAGTAATTTCAGCAGAGAAGAAGAAACTGACTTAGACGTGGTTTTGACTTCACTCCTCTGTCACATCTGCAACTTTTTATGCATAAGGTTACGGATAATATTGTAAAAGACAACCAGGGCACCTCTTAAGATCTTAACTCTGCTCTAGCATATAACCTCAGTAGCTGTTTAGAGAAACTTCCTCTCTCTTTCCCCACCAGAGAGAGGTTACAGGGAGACTTACTTTCTCTATTAGATACTTTCATGCTTTGAACACAATCCTTCATATCGATGCCTCTTCCAATATTTAAACATATCCCGGACCCAAAAAGCACATATATACATTGAGAGTACAAATATAGTGAAATCTGCAGATAATTTGCTAGTGCAGGTTAAATAATTGTGTTATGTCTATCACATGTAAAACCATACCATGGCATCCAGTTTGCTGATCTCTATTAATCTGGCATGGAAGCTGGGATACTGAAGGAAATGGGGGAAAAGTAGACGTACGTAACTGAATTTGATTGTGAAGTCAAAACATAGCTGAAATCTTCAACTGAGTGGAGGAGCTGCATGTACTATTGCAATATTAAATACTGATAACTCAGAAGATGAAATTTTAACTCTATCAGGATAAAAAGCAGTCCTGCCTTAAAAGATTTCCAACATGCTGACCACTAAATTACAGGACAGAAATTAAGTTCTGAGGTATTTCCTTTAACTTGTAGCTTATTTGGAAGCTCTAGAAACAGTTTTGTTTTGTTGCAGTATTATTCAGTGTATCAATATAACTTACACTGAGCTGTTCTATGTTCAAATTTTAACAAATCAGAGATAAGACATTATATACCAATCCCATTCTCAAGGTATTGTTGAGAAAAAAAAAAAAAAGATTTGTGCCTGCTCTTTGATTCTTTTTTAATGGATATTGTGAAACAAAGTTCCAGAAAAAATTGGTAAGCATATACTTTGTTATTAGGGCAGGTGTGATGCCTGTGTGATGCTATGTGTTTCCAAGTGAATGGGTAGCTCAGGCAAGTACTCTCTTTTCATACTTCTCCTCTCATGGAATCTAAAGACAGTTCACTGAATACCTGTGAAGTTCCCACAACTTCCCAGAGATTGAATATTGGGATACAAAGATGGCAACAGAATCTCTATCAAGTGTCACATTTGGTTTCTTTTAGAAATACATCACATTTTGGAAGTTAACAGAAATGGAAAAAGGAATTATATCATGAACTGGATGGTAAGGAAAATACGAAGATAAATATATTTTCCATTCATTCTGGCATAAAAACACTTAGCCTACAACTGGAAAGAATAAACACTGATTAAGGACAAAGCAGCTTATATAGAATCATAGTGGTAAAACTAGTACTTAGAACGGATCTACGTGGGCTTAAAGAATATAACACAGATGTATGATAAATTGTTATTTTCAATTCTTGCAGGAAAATAAACTTGGCTTATCTATTTCCCTGCATCATGACTCTCCTGTCTGTACTACTCCCAAATCAGGGTTAAATCCAAATTTCATTGAAATTAGGTTTGCGACTAAACCGAGGCAGTAGGTTACATGTAGCTCTCTAGTGCAAATTTCTTACTGCAGAAAGTGTTCCCTACTTTGGAAGTACATGTGTGCCTGTGAAGCAGCAGGCACCAGTTGAGAGATACTGACTGTGACAGTGAATTGGGGTGCGATGTAGATCTAGAAACCTAAAAAGGTACAGTTTAACTGCAGATTTTATCTGCAGTTAAAAAGTGTGCATCAGCTAAACTAGACAACGCAACCTAAAATTCCTGAAGATGGATTTTAATTTCTTCTATTTTAAATTGCCTGAGACTGATGCCACATCATCCTCACTGAAGATTTTCTCCTAGGGCTTTCAGCACAGTACAAGATTTGGGATGCCTCTATTTCGAGAATCCAAAGATAACATCTCCTATGGACTGCCCTTTTACAGAGCAATTGAGCACTTTGCAGCAGGCAAACAGTTGGAGGAGAGAAAAGAGAACTAAAATTCCTCTGTTCCAAATCAATATTGGACTCTCCCCTTAATTTCCTAATGTCCATGGTAAATACCATGGCCATGGAAGATGAAAAAAGCAGATTAATTACATAAAGGAAATGCTACATCTTGCAAGAACATGGTCACAGGTGTGCTGGAGTCCAGTAATATTACAGGAGGTTTTTTCTTTTATAAATTACTCTATTTTGTGTACATACTATGAAAAACTTAAACCAACTGTTCTAAAATGAAACACTCAGCCAGCAGACTTTTCAATAGATCTGTTATACCCTTTTATTTGCTAAGTTGCATTTATTTTACCCACATTGTGCAACAAAGTTGGATCCAAATGTCTTAAAACAGTTTCACGTTAAATAGACATCTGCAACTGAAGCATCACAGACCAAAGAAAAGGATCATAAGACTTGGGCATTAATCATGAGTTTTGCCATAGGCTCCAGCAAAGCCAAAATTCAACTTCTGTGGTATTTTCTTTTTGCCTGTCTACCAGTCTTTCCTCCATATGCCCTTACCTCTCGCTTTTCTTTTGGTCGTGATATACAAATTGTTTTCCTTTTATCTTTCCATTACTTAATCTGAATTGCTATGCAAATAATGATAAACTAAATGAAGATAATGTGTTAAATATCCACACACTGGAAACTGGTGCAAGAAAATATTCACAAAACCAAAAAATGTTACATCATATGAAACGTTATGTTTTCATATAGGACCTATAAATTTCTGAACCATATATTTCTGTATTCAGAATCAAGCAATATTTCCTTTATTCTTTCCTACTGAACAGATAATTATAAATAAAACAGATTAACAGATAATTTATAGATAATTTTTATAAATAAAAATAAAACATCTCATTCTCTTTAGAGAATGACATGATCCATTCTTTCATAAGCAATTTGAAAATGACCATACATTTAAAAAGCATAGCTGGATGCAATCACAACTACAGCAGAGGTCAGGATAGATAAAAACTATTGCTAAGCCTTTCTTTTTTGTTAATATGTCAAATCTGCTACTCACTATCCAACCATATTTATCCACAGTCACTAACACAAATATTCAATCACTCTCACCAGATGGAGCAAGGAGCCTCCTGAGGAAACAAGCATATGAGGGTCAGCACCATCTTTCAATAGCCGCAGCACTGTAATATTAAAGAAAAGAGGAACAAGAATTAATATACCTAATATACCAGCAATACACCTAATTCTGAACTGTTAGTAGGTTGATTCTTCATCATCTTCATTAGAAGATTTAATAATATATGCAAACCTCTCATATAACATTTGCAGAACTATCATGTCAGCATTTATCATCTCACCTGTTATAATAGCTAAGCCTGTAAGCAAAGGACCTTTGGCAATGAACAGCAAATATGAACAGTATCAAGGACTTTTCAAGTATACAGATAAACATGTCAGTTTTGTACATAGGAGAGGGGAGGGGAAAGTTGGAGGAGAGACCCTGCGTCAAGGTCACAATCACCTGATTAGTTCATATGGGAGCAAAATCACAGTCAGCTGGTTTCATTTTACTTTATAAGAGTTCCCATGAGATATGTTGGCTTTTTCAGTAAATACTTGAAAGTAGTATTCATAACTGGTATAATTTGAAATTAATCATCATACCAAAGCTAAATGATCTGCAGTCAATTTAACCTTTCCAGTGCATTGTCAGATCACTGATGCAGCATAATTTTTAAAACGATACTTGGAGTCAAACTCCACTCCCAGTTACATGTATCAAACCCTTTTGAAATGAAAACAGGCTTATAAGCACAAGAAAAATCACAACCTTTCGTACTGGTGCTCACTCAAGAGTGAAAATTCAGCACTTTTTCCCTATTGCCTTTATAACCTTTTCACTCTAAATCAAAGCATTGACTAACTCATGGTAACAGTGTTCATTCCTTGAACAGAATTGCATGGTAGCAATGCCAGACATTATCAGGGGAATTCCCACCAGCACTGCAACCCTGTCTTCAATAAACTGGCATAAAGAACCCTTTTAAAAGGCCCCTCTCCATGAGAATAACTGTCAGTAATGTTTCCTGAGTGGGAGCACAGCTGGTTCTGACTCCATCGTTTGGAAAACTTAGTTTGAATCCCTAGTTAAGATACTGGATGGACTTGTGCAAACAATTGTTAAGAAATTTCAAGTAGTGAATACCCCAAAAATCTGTTCTACTTTGTGGCTTTGCCCCATAAGAGAGCCATAAATTTGCCTCATGGCCCTCCTAACTTCTGTGAATCCATTAGGAGACTCTTAAACACAACCTCCTCCCTATCTATGCATTTTTTGTATGTGTTTTCTTTTTCCCAAGAATATCTTGCTACTCCATTTTCACTGTACATTTGAACTTCTTACAGCATTTAGACAGTCAGTTAACCTGTTTGAAAGAGGTCAGGTTTTTTTTTTTTTCAAATACTGTCAACTAATAGAAGCAATGTTTTCTGAATGTGCTGAATTATTTTTGATCAGGTGCCCTAGAAAAATGCAGCCTAAGAAAGAATATTCGGCTAAATGTTTGCAACCCTGTAAAATTAAAGTGAAACACTTGGCAATATTATCACTAAATACTTTGCATAGTAAACACAGTGGTATAATGGACAAATATTTACAATAGTTAGACTAATTCATTTAATCTTTTGCTCTTTTATAAGTTTTGAAATTCAAAGATCAATCCAAAGGGTTGTACAAACCACACTTTATGAATACTTCCATGGTACTTATTTTTCCTCATCAAAGGATTTGCTTCATTTAATTTACGTAACTGTAAATTACTTTTATGTTCTGGCAATTGTTACTTTGAAAGTTAATCCCTATCAGAAGTCCCTGTTGCCCCCAGTATGTCCACCAAAAGTAGAATTGGAATATTAGGTAACATGAAGTATAAAAAAATGTACAACACCTGTTAAGAAAGATGAAAAGCACTGAACCAGAGCGGGACGGTAGAGAAATATTTACGAAATTTCATAACTTTGGGAGAATTGGATAAACAACAGAAAGCAAAGCATTTATTTCTGCTTTCAGATCCACCAAATCTCAAAATGCACAATTGCCCTCATCCAGAGAGAGATCATTAAAAATAAAATTCAGAACAAAATTCTTTCCTTGGCTTAAGACCTAAATTGACAGCCACATAAGGAGATGCTCCCTCTGCCTCAGGTTTCAGTGAGTAAAGATTTATTGTTAAGTCCTCCTTCCTTAAATAGGTGTGCAACTACATCCTCCTCAGGAGTTATTATTTTAAATGTTCCTATGTCATGCCATTTCTTTAGTATGGCTGAAAATATTAATTCCATATCACAGAACATTTCTTAAGGCTCTGAAAGTAATTTCATCTTCCCAATCCCACCAGGATTTCACCTTAACAAATTAACACTCCAAATTGTTCCCTTCCTCCATCCTTGTTTTTCAGGGGGAAAAAAATCCACCTATTTCAGATTCTCAGACACTTAATACAGTGTTTTTATGTAGCATTCTTTCTTATGGACTCTGTATGTGGGTTAAATACGTGAACTATGTCTTGAATCCACCTGCAACAAGAGACTCATTTGCAAATATGGGAATAAGTGTAGATAGTCCTTTAAAGTGTGATTTGCAGAAATCACTCTATTCTCAAGGAGGCTTCAACTGATGACATTGTAAGAGCATATAATTATTTAAAAATGCCATCTTTACAGTGTATTCTCACAGGCTGTACTGCTGTCAAAAAGGAGGAGTCATGTTATTCACTTCATGGCCCACTCTTCCCTTGTGCCAGCTCTCCCTACCAGCTGCACATTCAACTGGACCAATAAGGTGATGGAGGTTTTGTTTGTGGGGCAGTTTTTTGGGAGGGCAGGGCTTGGTTGGATTTATAGTTTGGTGGCAGAAATCTTGCATTGACTAAGGCTGTTAATGAAATAGCATCCTCAATCTGTCTTTCTAAAAGATGGGATAAGACAACGAGTTAACCAAAAGAATCTGTTCCCTCCCCTTTTTCACAAAGGGACTTGCACACCCTTTACCTCAGGCTACTTCTGCATCTGGGAGCTGACTTTAATGGCACAGAGTAACACCAGCAAAAATAAAATGTGGAGTTTCTTGTTGGGTAATTGAGATGAACTCAATCATTAAGAATGCTGGGATCACCAAAAGGGGCTTTTGGGTATGTCCTTCTAAACAAAGACAGAGGATAAAGACCTCTCTCTTTTGGCAGGAGAAGGACACAAAGGTAGGTCAGTGGGTTGGGAAATTGCATTTCTAACAGTATTCCACAAGAATTTCATCTGGAGTCTAAAGTACAAATGAAGTGACAGAAAGAAACTCTGTTTACTCAGGTAGAAAGAAGATGGGCAATTTACTGAATCTCTTCCTCCCATCAATCCTCCAAGGACTTGGTTCTTGTAGAGAAGCTATGCAAAATATGAAGTAATGACTTTCCAGATCTATTTAGCAACTCCTTGCAGTTGAAACCAAGCAATGACCATTTCTGGATCCAAGATCAAAATCCACAAAAATTAATAGCTTTGTCTTGATTTTTTACTCAGAATAAAATTTTTTACAAACTCTCAAGCCCTTCTTTTGTATGTATAAGCAGGTCCCTCCATTCACTAATGTCTTTTAGATTTGACATACAAAATTATTGACTACTTAGAACAGAATTTCATACCTGATTTCATATCTAATAAAGGTATTTTAGAAAGTATTTGAAAGCATTGTAGTCTCAGCAGTAAAAAAAAGATAATAATCAACATAGCTTTCCACATATGCCCAATGATACAATTTTAACCAAATTATTCCAGTGAGCTGAATAGCTTTCTACATTCCATTGATTTTATTGACTAGATTACACCTTATTATGTGGCCTTATAATGTAGTAGTTATTATTGCTGTGCCTGTTACCATCCACAGGTCTTGTACTAACTTTGCATGTGGAACTACGGCTATAAAGCTTACATTTCCTGGGCTTGTCTTGGTTTGCTTGGAACTTTCTTTTAACTCTTTTAGCTGTTACAGCAACTCGGTGATGACAACATGACAATTACCTAACACATTTTAGTTTTGTTTAGCTTTGTACAACTGTGGTGCATAACACATTAAGAATTTTGATATACACAGCAGTAACTAGTACTTACACTGTGCTGTGTTGAATATAATCTAGCTACCCTGTCATATAGAGCTATATATGACCTTATACGCTGCCGACACAAGGAGTACTGATCTGAAGTGAGAGCCTGAAAGGGGAATTCAGAGGGCCCAGGGCTATCAGTAACTCACCAGAGATCATCCACTGATGGTGACACAAACTTAGGAGCTGGGTAATGTTGCATTCACAGCAAACTCAGTTTTAGTAGTAACAGAAAAGATAAAAATAAAGGTGCCTAATATTTGTAAAACCTAACAGTTGGTCATCTGCTGTGCTGTATACCAGTGTATCCTTCTATTAATTGTTTCTCTGAGGAGTAGCTGGCAGCTAGTGTAAACTTTGTTCCTGTTAATATCTATTTTTGTTCTCTTCAGTTTAGCAGGAATAACTCCAGCTGGAAGGCTTTGCTTGTTCGTTATGTACAGAAACACGACATACTGATCCAGAAGCCTAGCTAAAATGATGCTGATGCTAGAATGGATTATTCCATTCTCCTTCTGTCCCAATTTGCATGTTTTTGTTACTTGGCACAAGGAGAAGATTAGTTCTCCCTCCAGCCAGATCAAGAATCTGGGAATGTGGCTGTGGGTAATAGGTGATTATGGAGATTGTTGTTCCCACCACTTTTCACCAACAGTCGAAAGTAGTTTGGGCATAAACTGACCATGAAATTGAATCACTGAAGAACAGGAGTGATAAAGATGTGTAGTAGCATCCTTCTACCTCTTCCACTTCCACAAATTCAGTGTTATATTTTGACCTTTACTTCCTCCACAGTCAGATATTTGGTCCCACACCGGCATCTTAAAACTCTGTACAGATGAATCACTTAAAATTCTCTTCACCTTCATGACTCTTCAGCGCTCTTTTCTCAATCCTTGGCAGTCACCCTATACTTTCAGCTTGTACAAAAGGTACTTATGAGGAACCTGCTACGTAACTCAGCTGTGTATGAGAATAGATGAATGCTAATCTTGGTAAGTTATTCTTAATCAGAACACCAAATGAAA